GAGAGAGAGAGAGAGAGAGAGAGAGAGAGAGAGAGAGAGGGGTGGGGGGGAGTGACTGAGAGAAGAAGGCAGGCATCACATTGTCATGGTGGGCAGAATGTACAGAGTCAAATGTGTTGGTCTGGCACATTTTGGGGGGCAGGTGATCAAGAGCGCCAGTGGAAATGATACCCACAGGGGAAACCTGCACCCAACCCTCTTCTGAACTCATTTCCTTTAGTTCCTCCTTCGCTGCCACGTTTGGCAAGCTGGCCAAGAAATATATACTGCATACTCAATAGCCCAGCTACTTAAGTGCCACCTTTTTGCACTGGTGCCCTCCCTCTCTGCTCATGCGTCCCCTCCAAAATATGATACAGTCTGCGTCGCTTCCCTTGGCAAGGAGAGCGGGGAGTCTGGAGAAACGCTTTGCCTTCTCCAGCACGAAGCGCCTCCTCCTCCTCCGCAGCAGGGAGTCTAGTCCTGCCCAGCATGAGAATACGAGGCTTCCCTGGAGTGCCATCTGCTGAGCCGGTAAAGAGGCTCATTGACAGGTCATTGCAGTCCTTGAATCGAGGTGTGAGCTGGATACATTGTCCCCGAAATCCTTTTGAAATGGAACCCTACAGGGGCAAGGAATGGAGAAATCCGGGCTCAGGTTTGATGTGCCCGACTGGCCAGGATCATAAACACAAGGTGTTAAAACTCCAGGCCTTTCCCCAGCCCCTCCCCTCTTCTCTCCATCTCTCCCCCCCCCCCCAACAGGGGTTGCCAAATGCCTTTCCAGTGCAGTGATAGATTTCCTTAGGAATTGTTTTCTCTGTTTGGGGAGTTAAGAGATGTTTTGAGAAAAGGCTGAAAACCTTTCAGTGTTAGATAAGCTTCCTCATCCTAAGACCTTTTCTTGCCTTTTCTGGGTGCAGTAAAGGAATACACAGAAATAATAAAATGATAATGTGTTGTTTTAGCGGACATTTTGGGGAAATTATCCTATATTGTTTTTTGCTATCATTAGTAATACTATACATCTGTATTTTGTTTTTCCTCTCAGATCAACAGAAAGTAGATTACATTCATAGAAATAAATGCAGTTAAAACAGTAAAACAGCATAATAATGTACCAATTTATATAATCAAAATGTCACTAGCTAGAAACTAATTGCCTCAGGTATGCAATTTGCAGTTTAACTTCTGTATAGAATGATATTGTTAAAATGGGTTATCTTTATAGTATTTTCAGGGGGGCCTTTAAAACTGAGTCACTCAATTGCATCTCATAGGGAGCAAGAGCACATGTTATTCAACTTTGCTTACTCACAGGAAAGTGTTTTTAGGATTGCAGGTACTTTTGTTTTCACTTTAATCTTGGTCTCCACAGAAAAAAAGAATATGACCAATTCCTCACATGTAATCACATTTGTTTATTCAAGCTGTGGGGGTGGGGGGGTGCAAGCAACTAACACTACACTTGTTAGATAAAGTAGATAATTTAGCACAGGTTGAGGACTACTTGAAAGTAACCATATATTGTTTTGAGCTCAGTGGTTGTTGTGGGGTTTTTTTTACAAATTCTAGACCAAATTTTATCAGGGTAAAGTTTACATGAAAACAAGGTTAAAACAATTGTTATCTTGCTTCCAGAGTAGTTTACAAATTCAAAGCATACCTGCCCAAAAGTCCCATTGAACTAATCCAGGTTAGGCTTTTGTTTTCCTCCCACTGCAGGTATTTAAAGCCTGGGTGTGGCCTTGTGGCATAAGCCAGAGGATAAGAGCCAAAGGTCTCTTGTCTGTGACCTTGATAAGGCTGCCCCAGTGGATACCGGACCAGGGTATTTTGTGTTTGCGTGGATGTGTTTGCTTACACTGCATTTTATTTAAATTGTTTAACTTGTTTGGTGGTTGTTTTTTTTCAAGTTGCTTTGGGTCCCCATTGGGGAGAAGAGCAGGACAACAAAGCCCATGGCCCAGGCTTGCCTGTTCTCACCAGATCTTAGAAGCTAAGCTAAGCAGGGTTGTTCTTGGATGGGAGACCACCAAGGAAGCCCAGGGCTACTGCATAGAGGCAAGCAGTGCAAACCCACCTCTGAGCGTCTCTTGACTTGGAAACCCTACGGTGTTGCCATAAGTTGGCTGCAACTTGGTGGCACTTTCCACCACCACCACAAAAGCTACTTCAGGAATTCAGGAATGTACGCTTAGGAATGTACATTACATTTACAAAATTTCCCTTTCCCATTTTCCCTCCTGCCATAACAACATTCAGAAGTAGGTTTGGCAACCTCCGGGTGGTGGCTGGAGATCTCCTGGGATTAAAATGCATCCCCAGGCGACAGAGAACAGTTCACCTGGAGAAAATGGCCACTTTGGAAGGTGGACTCTATGGCCTTAGAACCCATTGAAGTCCCTCCCCTCCCCAAACCCCGCCCTCCTCAGGCTCCACCTCCAAAATCTCCAGGTATTTTGTAACCCATAGCTGGCAGCCCTGTTCGGAGGTGACCCCCTGCAAAACTAAAAAATGTTCTTAGTGGCACTCGGGGAAACACCTTTAATTCTACTGGAGAAACAAAAACGAGGGCTGTGATCCTGAACACATTTGCTTGGAAGTAAATCCATTCGTGTCATTGAGGAGGGCTGGGAGGGGTGCCTGCTGTAAGCATAAACTGCTCAGGAGGATGCCAAAAACTATCATTACAACACATTAGATCCTTTTTAAAAATGGTGGTGGAAAGTCACTGCCAACTTATGGCAACCACACAGGGTTTTCAAGGCAAGATGTGAACAGAGGTGGGTTGCCATTGCCCACCTCTGCGTAGCAACCCTGGACTTCC